CCAGTACTCTTAGCTGGTTTTCCAATGGTTCAGCTCATGACTAAATCCTCCAGACAATCAAACTAAATCCCTACAAAAACCAATACTTGAAAATTTAATTATTCGCGTAATGCGAAGCATCATAAATGAAATGCCTGTAATAAATTTGAAAAGTGGTGGAACATATACTCATACAGATTATAATGGATCGAGTTCACTACGTCGGTTCATAACAGCTGTTTGATAAGACAGGTCATAATACAATTTTAACACACATTTTGTTTACCATCGCGAATCACTCCTCCAGTAAGAATTGCTGTGAGAAAATCATTGTGAAATGAGGCATGAAGATGATAGGATTATCTCATATTATTAGTATCTGACCGACTGATTGTCTGTCTGTCTGGATTCAACATAGAACTTGGCACCGAAGTCCAGCAGTTCGAGTTGCCACGTTCCAAATAGCACACAGAGGTAGACAAGAAGATGAGTGGAGAGAATCAATACAGTCTGACAAGTATAAGAGTGAAACAGAATGGGTAATGGTAGGAAGGAATATGAAAGATTACAGAGACTGAATACATCTGCGCCATTGACAACGATTTTGAGCCATGTCACCTATTGTCTCCAGCCATTGATTCTTAGAGAGTCCCGAGGGCCCCAACCCGGGAGTCTGCATCTCCCTACCTGACTCAGTTTAACTGTCAAGGATTTCATGGATTGATGCCATGTTTTTGTTTGGCCACCACTGGCTCTTTTCCAACCCGCATCTATTTCAGCTAGCAATGCCCGTCGGGGGAGGCGGTGGTTAGGCATGCGCAGCACGTGACCTAGCCATCTTAGTCTATGTAACTTTATAGCCTCGTCGATTGATTTTCCCTCTTTGCCCAACACTCTACGCCTAACGTCAACATTACTTATCTTGTGAAACCACCTAACGTGAGACAGGGATCGCAGACATCTATGATCGAAAGCAGTTAACCTTTTCATGTCTTCAACGCGTATTGGCCATGTTTCAGAGCCATAGAGAAGGACGGAGCGAACTGATGAGCAGTACACACGTCCCTTGGTTGATAACCGGATGTCACGTGACCGACTGATTGGTTTCAACACAGAACTTTGCACTGATCTGCAGCAGTTCGAGTTGCCACACTCTTGCCATGTCGCACACAAAGCAAGAGAAAGTAAAAAGAAATGCAAAATAGAGATAGTAAACTGAGATATGAAGCAAAAAGAATAGTAATATGGAAGAACAACACAGTTTTATTGAATATTATAGATCACAAGGAGTGAATACATTTGCTTTAACCATTAAGAACGTTTTTGAACCATATCACCAATTGTCTCAAGCCTTCGTTGGTTTTGCCGTCACAACGACCCCAACCAGGAAGTCTACACCTCCCTAAATGGCTAGCTGAAACTAACTGTTGTGAATTTCATTGACTGGTGAGGTGATGTTTTGATTCGACCACCACTAGCCAACTCTTTTCCAACCTGGACCTATGCTAGTCAGCTAGCATTGCTCGTCGAGGAAGGCGATGTTTAGGGATGCATGCATAACACATATCCTAACCATCTCAGTCGATGTAACTTCACAGCGTCGTCTGTTGATTTCCCCTCCCTACCTAGCACTCGACCGATGCCTAACCTCAATATTGCTTACCTTATTATACGACTTCACACGGGAGATAGAACGCAGGCACCTATGATCAAAGACAACTGGCTAGTCTTTTCATGTGCTCCTTTTTCAATGGCTGCGCATCACTCACAGCGGACTGCTGGGTAGTACACATGCCTTTCGGTTGTTGTTAGAGTGCTAATAAATCAGTAATAAATGCGTAATCAGAGATAATAAAATTCAGATATGATAGAGAAGATTTGTAGCTCAGTTGGATGATTTTGATGTGGTTATGTTCTCTGAGCTGGGTGGTTAATTTGCGAAGCTTTCTTCCCCACACCACTAGGCGACATCTTCAGCGCATACTTCAATTCGTTGAAGTGAGCTTTTAGATTTCTCCACAAGTTTATTAGTCATCTCTCCTGGTGAATGAACTTGGACGTGATTGATTGTTTTTGTATGTTTTCACACCCTCTAGGTTACTTGTATTGGAACTGATTGTTTCCTTGACTTGAACTTTGACTCTTTGTGTGCGACGTTTCTTTCTTATCGGTTGATAAATTTCGTCTATCTCGACGTGTCTATTGATTGATGATTCACTGGAATACCAGGCTGGCTTCTAAAAATTCTCAAGCATTCTTGTTGTTTCCTCTGTCTAATATTTGAACATTGTCCCAGTCGAATTGAAGTCGGTGGTTGTCTGTATGTAGTAATATCAAATCATATCATTGTTTCTTTCAATCAGTTCCAACAAAAGTAACCTAAAAGGTGTGAAAACACACAAAAACAATCAATCACGTCCAAGTTCATTCACCAGGAGAAATGACTAATTAACTGTGGAGAAATCTAAAAGCTCACTTCAACGAATTGAAGTATGCACTGAAGATGTCGCCTAGTGGTGTGGGGATGAAAGCTTCACAAATTAACTATTCAGCTCACAGAACACAACCACATCAAAATAATAAAATTCAGCGAATAGAACTGAAGACTTGCAAGTCGATTGAATGGGTGATGATGTAATACAGTGAGTAGAATCCAAAAGATGAAGTGTAGTATGAAAGTCAAGTGAAAAATGAGCTTAGGGGATCAAAAACAAAATGCTGAAATCAGAAGGTAGTGAGTTATCAAGGAGAAAGTTATATCAGGGTGATTGACTAATTGCTTTTGAACTATCAGTTATCCACTCGGTGTCCTGTGTCTATCGAGCGTTGGTTAACTGACCATTTCAAACTATACTATGCTTTTATTCAAAGGCTTCTTGGTTCACATTCAAGGAATCTGATATAGCCCGGCCGACAACTGCTGCATTTTCGTGGTGTTCGGGCTTGAATACCGCAGTGACCCGACAAGCTAAACTGACTGGGACTCATGTCCCTGCAGGTCCTACCATGTCAGGAAGATTGTTTGGATAGCGGTTAGACAAAAAACAGTTACCATGGGGTACATGGGCTCCAGGATCCAATGGGATCAAATGGCGTATGAATCCATATGGGTCACCGGAAACCATGGGAATGCAGCTCCTGACGCTGCTCCACTGCCTTGCGGATTAGACTCCAAGTCAAAGGCTCGGGGGTGGTCCCTTAAGAAAACCACCTACTTCGGTCTCGAGCCCGGGCAGTATCTCAACCCTCACACAATGAATGAAATAAAACAACAAACTATCATTGAAAATCACCGCGCGCTCGTAAAAATGATTTCAAGTAATAATTATGCCTCAAGCAACTTATGTCCTTCCAACCTTATTTTTACTTTATTACATCGATTCCTGTATTTTACCTTTGTTATCCTTGACTTCTTAACCTTTCACAGCCTTTCGCTTTTGTCTGGATTCCCAGCCTGTCTGTGTCGTTTCGAGATATTAGTGAGTAACCCTGAAGATGGTTGTCTCCAATGTGATATCTAACACAGAACTTCTTTTAGGGTGGCACACACCAACTTGAGCCACCTATGGCGACGTCGCGACGTTAGCATGGCTGTCAAAGGTCGGGTATACAATGCTTCGGTGCGGGCTGTCTTGCTCTACGCCTGTGAAACCTGGCCTCTCCGAGTGGGCTGAGGATGTGCGGCGACTCTGCGTGTTCGATCATCGCCGTCTCCGCAGGATTGCTTGCGCTCAATGGCATCATCGCGTGGGGGTAATTCTGAGGTTCAGCAGCGTGTGTTTGAGCACGGTGGAGGCCACTATTCATTGAGTGTCGCCATCTGGAAACGCCGACTCCGGTGGCTTGGATATGGGATGCGAATGCCATCCCAAAGTCTTCCGTACAGGTCTCTGTTTGCTAGCCCTGCGACGGGATGGAAAAGGCGGAGGGGTGGTCAGTCCATGACGTGGCGTCGTGGGATGAAGGATTTTTGTGCCAGATTAGCATTGGTTGGTATGTCACGACTTCCTGGTTGGGGTCCGCGAGATAGCTCGAATCGGTGGCTCGAGACGTTATCGGATATGGCCAAGAATCGTAGTCATGCATGGCGAAGGTGCTGCAATTTCCTTCTTTCTTCCCTTCCTGATGATAGTTAACGAATACTGTTTGAACTTGTGACGCATGACTGTTTTCCTTCCAGATGAAGTTCTTCATCCATTCTCTACTTATATATTTTTACTTTTGATCTATGTTGTTTTATTATTATTGTGTGGTGCATCTTTCTTGGTTCCTTATTGTACCAAGTTTTTCTGGTGTTTAAATAAATAATGATAAATAAATCTGATATAAACGCTTCTTCGTCTTCTCCACAGGTGCAGGTAACGTATAAGGAAGGCTTATCGATTTTTAACTGTACCGACGAGCAGGCTGTTCAGAGTAGAGCGACTAATCTTACTATCCGATAATTCTTTGTCATTGATGTACTAAATCGTTTATTTATCATTCTTATACTATCATCACCTTTTTGACGCCTAGTTGAATGGAAATTGGTTTCTTTTACTGACTGTCATTATATTTGGATTTATACATTCTTTCTTGAGTATCAATTTTCTTTCAGACATTTTTCAAGTAACATGAATTCACTGTGCAATTTATGTCTGTTGAATATATTCGTTTTACTCTACAGAATAGTGAGTGTCTTTACCAGCCTTCGTTAAACGATAAACTATATTACTTACTTACTTACTTACTACATTGTGAAGTATCGATCCAGTCGTGTTTAAATTAATAATTTGTACAACAGTAATGCCGTAAATAGTATTCACTTTTTACGCTGACTGATAATTATGCTAAAGCTTTTTTCACTTTGCGCGTTTATTTATGTGTGTGTATGAGAGAGAGAGAATTTTTCGTCTACACTGAGAAAAACTGCTATCTATATTACATAATGATGTGATCAATATTAAAGTTCTTGTCCTACATTGTTATCTTGCATAGTATTCACATTTTTTTAAAAGAAATATTTTACTATATGTCAATACATGAGCAATTATAATGTTATTGTCAAGCAACCAAAATCTTTCCGAATTCTGATGTTTCAACATGGATATAAAACGAAAGCTGTACACACTGACAACAAAGAACAGCTTACTGGACCATGGGGTCAACTGTGTAGTAGTAATGTACACAATTCAACCCAACCAACTGATTCCCATGATGATGATGATGATGGCGAAGATACCGAAAGCAGTGAGGATAGCGATAATGATGAGGATGGGGATGATGAAGATGATGGTGAGTATGATACAACCACATCGAGATCCGATTCCACTGATCTTCGATGTTGTCTACTATCAGCGTGTTGTGAAACGTGTACCTGTTGTAATATGCCGAAAAAATGTGATGTCTTGTATAATCATTTACAAATTATGACAAAAGCTTGTCCTGGTGGTTGTCCTACTATTGTACCGAAACAAGAAGAAGAAGAATGGAAATATCCAAGGTATAAAGGTGCTAGTGAATTTGCAATATGTCAGTGTTGTTATTCTCCTGGTGGAATCATATGCATGAAGTATTTAGATATTTTATGCTGTCCACTATGTCCTCTATGGGATTTATGCAAAGGTTTTGATTATGGTTATCGTCGTTTTCGTATTCAAGTGATATTGGATCGGTATAAAGATTCACAAAAACGACATTATATTACTTTCATATAGTTAAGAAAATAAGTAGTATGTTGAGTATTTTCCCATTTTTTTAAATAGTCCTGTTTTGAAATTGAGGAAGACAAAAGCTTAATTTACATGTTTACATAACTGCTTCAAATATACATTTGTTCACTATTTTCAGAGAACTTTTATATGAATTAAAGTCTTTGTTTTTTCTATAGTTGATTTGTAAGGATTAGTTTTGTTTTTACGAGTTGGTCACGGAATGATATCGGTTACAGAACCATTGAAAACCAGCTGCCAGTAATGGACAGCTGCTGTTTCATCCTAGTTTGGGAATCATCGGCAGTACCTCTCATCAAAGGATCTGTTGCCTGGCCTTTGTCTTCTGTCGTTACAGTAGGTTGTGAGTTTGGCAACACAGTCTTTAGAATCAACATCACAACTACTGAAACTTTTAAAACGCTTCTAAGCCCCTAACTGAACTCAGCGTACTGTCGATGATTCCCATACTAGGATAAAACAGCTGGTTTTCAATGGTTCTCTAACTTATATCAATCGTGATCAACTCGTAAAAAAAAACTAACCCTTACAAAACGGCTATAGAAGATATTCATAGATTTTTATGTACATTATTTTCAACGTTATTGTTAGCGGAAAAGCAACGTCTTCTGATCAGTTGTTTTCTTGCTGAAGGTTATTCTGTACTGTTTGTGACCGTTTCTTTGAAATTTAAGCCATATGTCTGTGAATCGTATTTGCACAAGTTAAGTCTGCTGTGATTGGTTGATGAGTTCCTCAAGGTTAATCCTTGTTATTGTTTTTTTCATGACGCTGAACCGGGACGTAAACATTGACGTAAATTGTTGTCTACAATTTTTGCTTGCAGACAGCTATCACCACACTACCACCTAACCTGTCTTCCAGGCTTACTATCTGCCAGTAATCTAGTTGTGGTTTAGGAGAGAGATTGCCGCGAATCGCATGTGGACCTACCGCATATTTGCCGACAGTGTCATTCTACTAATAAATTTATGAAGCGTGCATTTTGGGTTATGAAACTGGTCAATCGGGTAGTACGGCGATAATATTAAGGTCATTCCGGGTTATAAGTCTTTTTATTATTATTATTACTAGTGAAGTATCAGTTTGGGCAAAATGGGCACCAAGAAATGAGCCGCACAAAATCTTGTTATTTGTGCGAAGGCTGGGATAATGTCCGAATTTACCCAGACTGAAGTAGGTAGTTGTTTTAAAGCGTCATGCTTATCCGAACATTTGACTCGAAGTGTGATCCACAAGACAATTCAGTAGTCCCGAGAGTTGCGTTCCAATGGTTTCCGGTGACAGAAACAATCCGTGCAGATTCCGTAGCACATGTACATCATAGGTTTGGAATAAAGGTTTTACAGTCCCTCTAGGTGGACATGCATGTCCATCAGTCCGGTTATAAGCGCCAGGAGTTTCTTATGTGCCGTTTCATTTTTGTGGGGAATACCTGTGCGGCGCGCGAAGGCAGTTAGTAGGACTTATATGACACAGGTAAATGATGATCAAAGTTTACCGTCTCGTGTCTGCGCCAGATCGTTAATGTAGGCAAGTGGAGGGTGAGAAGACACGCACTTCCGCCGAGAACAGATGGACACACCCAAAATGGGACTGGAGCTCATGACTGTGGAATTAAATCTTTAAATTGACAGGTTAATAAGTAGTATTTGATAAATATTGATGCTGATATATTAGTTTTAAAAAGAGAAGATGAAATTTGGTGGGTTTAATTGATTAAGTCCCTAATTTATGGGATCTTTTGAAGTATCATACCTCTACTAATATGAGGAAAGAAAATAGCTGGGCTCTTTAAGCAGAGTTTTTATGTGGTTATGTAATTGTTCAGATTTTCTTCCAGAAAAATGACCCACTGTTTGATTTAGATGAACATGCAATTTTCCTGAACAATGGTATGAACAGTAATGATTCCAGCCTATTTTTTCATTCTTAAGCCATAATCTAACAGTTCAGCTCACTCTTTGTCTTTGCTACCGCAAGCTTGACGGAGTAACGCAGGAAACCATCCAGCTACTTCTTCTTCTCTTTTTGATATGACTCAATGGGGATTTTCAAGCTAATCTAACAGTTCCTTAGCTGTCATGACTACAGTAGTACAGAAGTAACCTGAAATTCGGAGATATGAAACTAGGGTCTCACCTGTGGGTAAAATTTATTTTGATAAAGTCTCACAGTTTTATACAGTAATGTATACTTATGATCACGTTTCGAGCACAAATTATTGCTACTCATAATCATATCAAGTTAAACAACTTCCAACTTCGTTTATACGGTTCCACTATTTCTCATCTCTTAACTTGATTCGTAGTAATTTTTTTTCATATTTCTGGAAGGAGTGATGAGTCATTCCTACTGCACCTGTTGGGTGTTGACTCTATGAACCAGGATTCAGTAATCAACCTCTCTCCACCTATCTAGTTTACTTTTAAGAATTTTAACCCTCTCCTACCCTATGGTGTGGTTGTGTTTTAATGCATGCAGTACAATGTAGTGCTGAGCTTTTTTCTAAATTACTTATCTTCGCGGGGTCAATTATTCTAACCTTATCTAAATTCTTATGTTCTGAAAATCTGACTACTCCTGACCTACTAGTCTGACCTATGTACTTGACCTAACTCACAGCCATTTCAAGGTATTTTGTAAATTATATTATTTTGTCTAATTGGGTCAACTGGGTCCTTTAACCTACACAGCTTGTCCTACCTGAGTGAGTTTGTAGGTTTGAATGCCACCCTGGTTCTTGCATTATTAAGAATCCTACGACGTAGGGTCTCAGATGTCCCCTCCTTATATAGTAAAACTGTAGATGGCTTATATTTTTTGTTGTTTATGTCATCATTATTAGTTTCACCATTATTTTTAGATTTTTTCCACAATGGAATTATATTGTACCACAGTGCATAAGTTATATTCTTATATCAGTGACAACTAAGGACGTCAACGAAATCTGATATTCTCTGCTCAGACAATACCACCGAAGACTGATGGATTCTCTTTTATACTCTCTACGTACCTAGAAACGTCTTCAGATGACAACAGTGCAGGAGATCGATAGAAATGTTCTTCGTACGATTCGTTTAGCTTAACTAGCTCAACATAGACCTACAGACAAACTTCCTAAAATGGCCGATGCTTAGGAACAACAGCATAAGTTTTGCGGCGTATGTTGCAAGAGGAAGAGAGATTCACGACTAACATGAGATCTTCTTTTGGCTTTATCTTATCTGAATTTAACATAATAACTGAGTCAAAAGTGCTAATTGCTATAATTTGGTAGATGGTAACTTGCGGTGGAATCCACGATGCCTATTTCTCCGCATTTAAAAACTCGTCATCCGGATGTACCTGCGATCTCCAAGATATAACTTGCCGAGGAGTCCTAAATGGGTCGAAATGTGCATAATGGATTCCACTCATCAAATAACATTGATTTTGATCTTCGGACAATCTAGAAGTGTTCATACTAACAGTCGACTTGTCAACGCAGTGATCAAACGTGTTGGTCCAATATAACAAACAAAGGTAAATACAAAATTATATTCTGGATTTCCTAATAGAGCATACAACCTCGGCGACATATCACCACATTACTTTGTTTAGTTGGGCCATACTCAGCTGGCTTCACGACTGTCTTTCACCTCTTCGCCACACGACCTCCTTCATGTTACTTTTGGACGGTGAATTTGTCGTTCCCCGCTACAGTGGTGACACAGTGGTTAGGACTCTCGCCGACCATGCACATAGTCCGAGGTTCAATCTCCTGCTGACGCACAGCCGATATCTATGGTCAGCCTGTAAAATTTGGGCTACCGATATCACATGCTGAAAATTCCATGCTTGTACTGAAAATACGGTGTGTCATCAAGCTGCAATCAAAATTAACAAGAAATCAAAAGATACAAAATTAAAATTAATTGCAATTTAGGTTTACCTGATATTTTACTTCACTCGACAGTCTTCATAGCATATGTGTCCAGCGCATTTCCATTTCATTTGGCATACTTTTTAGGCAACAGGTTCCAGGTTAATTGGTGGATGGTGACTAGCAGTGGAATCCAGGACGCGCATTTCGTCCTATTTAGGACTCGTCATCTGGATGTGCCTGCATTTCTCAGTGAGTGATGATGTTCCCAACGAGGCTCCAGGTGACGAGTCTCAAATAGGACGAAATGGGCATCCTCGATTCCACTGCTGGTCACAATCCACCAGTTAAATACTAAATACCCTGAAATCGTCGAAGCATCTGCACAAGAAGCCGACATGTCAACCTGAGACCGAGCACTTCGGTCCAATCAATCGACGGGAAAATCAAAAATTCGACTACAGGTCCAGGTTAGTTTGTTGTCTTCCAGGGTTCATGGTTGTTTTTATCCTTTCAGGAAAGCTATCTGGATTTCAGAATAGAGAGAAGACAGCCGTTGATTGGGGCCTACTTTGGCTTTTTGGAAGGGTCAAGCCTCTAAGCCACATAGAAACTCTAACTGACTTAACATTTTGTGGTGAAGATCCGCCTACAATCGATTCCACTCAGATTTCAGTGTGATGAAGTTCTCTCTGAATAATGCCATAAATTCCACGATACTACTGAATAGTAGTATAAATAAATTAATGAAAAATGTTGGCGATCATCAATGCCAAATCCTAATTGTTTCAAATTCTGTTTTAATGTTTGACATAAACCAGGATAGAATGTCAACTGTGTAATATAATGTTGATATTTTTTGGTTGATTGACTGGTTAAGTGGTTAGTTAGGATAAAATATAAGGTTAATCAAAAGAATAAGACGAAGGGTTAAATGTTATTTTTGGATGTCTGTTTATTCAAAGGTTCATCTGTCAGCTATTTATTATTATTCTTATTATTACCGAGCGATATTAAATACAAGTATTGGTAAAGCAGTTATAAATATGCGTGTTTGTCTGTGTGAAATAAGAGTCGAAAGTTGTTCTATCTTCTTTTCTTTTTGATTTGATATCAACAA